ATCCTCCTACCTGCCCTAACTTAAACTTCCCGGGCAATTCTCCTGCCCACTCCGGCAAAAGTCCCTTTGCCAACAGACTTGGAAAACACTGACTTTTTGGGCCCAAGTCCAAGTTTCCCTTCCCAGTCTCACCGTATTCCCTAGCCCTGGGGAGAACTCCTTCCCGCAACTGCTAATTAAAATCCTCCAGGAGTTGTTCCTTATCTTACCTCCGTGTGCAGTTCCAAGAAGCTGGGTTCCCCGAGATCAGAGCAGGAATTCTTCAAAATATGCCGACCAAAGAAGAAATCCCTGCAAAACGGAATATCAATCCAGAGGAGTCACAGGTCCCCATGTCTCTGTACGGAGCCACTAAAACTGTTGCCGAAATGGTTGTGGGGAAAAAAACCTCCAAATTAGATAGGAGATAAGATAAAGATGCAAAGGCTTTAATGAGCCCCCAGGCTTTCCGGAATACCCCCAACGCACGCTCCCGAATACAGATGTTCACAGTTTTTATAATGATTTTCACCCAATCCCCGTCCAGCCACCACCCAGGTTCTACCCCCACCACACCTCTTGGGAATTGGGTCTGGGGGCGTTTTGGGACCCCCTCTTCTTCATCTTCATCTTCCTCAGAGCACATAATGTTCTTGGAGGCCTTCCAGAGTCCTAGGCCTGAAGGTTGTTGCGTCTATGGTTATATCTTCTTCTGTAGGGTTAGGATGTTCTCTACAATTCTACCTTGAAAAAGAGACTAAACAGGTCAGTGAAATTTAGGGGAATTGATATGGGAATGGGTAACAGGGTTTACTATGTGTAGCTGGTGTGTTAAAGGGTAAAGGGATAATATGCTGCTACTTTAAAATCTACATTTACTACATAAGTACTTCTAAGATCTACAAAAATTAAAAAATCAAAACTCCAAGGTATCAGTTAGATAGTAGCTGGTGGGATAATTTATTAGGAAAAACTTGGTGGAAGAAAGTGGGATTCTTCTTACTATGTGCTCTATCAAGCATTATATTTTTACCATGTTTGATCCCTTGCTTTATAAGATTGATAGTTTCAATAGTACAGGGAATGCAAATATTTGCTATGTCAAAGGATCCAGAAGCTGCAAAAAGAACCAAAGTGTTAATAATCGCCCTGGATCCAACCAACCAAAATGAAGAAAGTGCAAAATTAATATTGTCAAAATTAGAGCAGAAGACACAAATTAATAATGAAAAAGTGGGAGGGAGGGATTGTAATAAACATAGTTATAATTCGTGTCAGTGAAAGAAACAAATGGACTTTTAGGACCTCATAAAATAACAAAACAAACAGGGTGTAAAACTTAATTGCATCCCCATAAAGAAACAAAGTAGGCCATTTGTTAAGGTCATCAGGTCATAAGCTATAAACCATCCCTGTTCTCCTAAAATTGAATTATGGTAGACTTGAGTCAATAATCTTTTTAGACGCCATGTCGTCCGAGAATGTATGAATTATAGGGAAACTATCACTGTTGTAGAGATAACAACTTTGCTTTAGTTGTGAAAATAAACATATATTAAATTCTTACCATAGTACTGTGAAATGTATATGTATATGATGTAATGAATATGCATGAAATAGCTAGAATAAATGTTAGTCGAATGCTGTATCAAGGAGCGCAGAGGTTTTGGAGCGAAGATTCCACTCTGTCCCAGCATGTTGTTTGTCTTTTCCATATAATAAATTCTTATTCGAAAACCTATCATAACTCGAGACTTTGTTTCTCACAGTGTTGTTTTGCCCACCAACCAACCCCTGGGGTTGAGGATGGTTTTGTCCGGATGGATTTCCAGAGAAAAAGCCAATCAAATCTTTCAGCAATGCCTTTACTAATTACATATTTAAGAAAACAGAAGAGAAACTTGTTGGGCAGTTGAAATTAGTAGCAGTAAAAATTGGTAACCATGTAGGAGCGGCAGCAGGTCCCAGGTGGGGGCCAGGTCTCCCTCCTTCCCCAGTCCTGGGCAGAAGGAAGGTCCTTCAGGGCCTGGGTAACCCCTCAGCCTCCGGTCTTAGCCCAGGGAGGGAGGTAAACCCAGCCTTGAGACTGACAAAGAGAGATAGAGAAAGAGTTCCAGCTGTGACGAAAAGGACGTCACTGTCCTGAGATAACCGAAGAAGAGCTTTAGAGTGCTGCAGAGTTATTGAAAAGACCTGGCACTCCGAGAATGGAGAAAGAGACTGTTTCTCCTCCTTGGACTGATAAAAAGGGGGGAGAGGTATTTCTATAAATACATAATACTTTATTTAGGAGCCCCTGGTGGTCTAGTGGTAAAGGCGCGGCGCTGTCACCGCCGAGACCCGGGTTTGATTCCCGGTCAGGGTCACTCCCGGGCAGGTGGAGCTTGTTAGCCCTTAAAGGCAACCCATCTACGTCCTAAGGACCTCGCTGCCACAGTCCAAGCTTGCTTGGCCCCGGCAGATGAACCTTAGGATTAAAGGGTGGGCTCAGTTCCGCGCACACTGTGTCTCACCTAAAAAAATCCAATGCGCAGGCTGGAAGGTGTAAAGACCTTCCCCGGATCTTCGCTTGCAAAGACTGGCCATTATTTAATTCTTTATTTAAGTAGAATTGTTGTAGATATAGTTCTTTAGTTTTTTTTATCTTCCTAATAATAAAAGTTAATATTATTTTTCCCCAATCAGGTCTCTTTTGTCTGCATAAACCTTCTCTCAACTTATAGTAATTGTGTGGGGGGTGTGAGAGTAAATTGACCCAGAGCAAAACCATGACACACAATGTCATGAATTTGCTTGTTCAAAGAACTAAACTCTTAAACAAAGCACTTAAAGAAAGATGTTGGGTGGAGTGAGTCACCTACACAAAAGAACTAGCCGGCAGATTTTTTTCTTTTCTTTCCCTCTCCTGGGAAACAGGACACTTTTTTTTCTTTGACCTTTAGTAGCAAAACCGAATTTCTGTATAGGAGATTCTGATCTGGTTTTATTTTTGTCTGATGCCTTAATTAACAGTATTGCTAATATTTATTTACTACTTTCTCTATGCAGAAACTTTTAATCCTCTTTAAGGAAAGAACAAATTCAGTGTCGCTTATTTGAAGCTATGTTTCATTTAAGTGGTTTGTTTCTTGTGAATCTTCAGATTGGTGTTTAATCATTGTTTATTTTCAGAGAGTTTGTGCAGGACAAGTTCCAGTTTGGGGGGAGAATTGAACCTTTTAAGAACAGAATTAAGGGAGTTTGTGTGCATTTGCACTTGGAAACTTGGTGGTGGGATTTGTTCAGGTTCGGTGTGTTGCATGCAACACGTGTGAAAGTTTGTTGGCCTCATGGGAGCAGTTTGTGAGCCTGTTGTTTCAGGCAAGACCCATTAGTTATGATAGGTTTTAAATAGGAGTTTATTATATGGAAAAAGCAACCAGCATAATGGACACAGAGTGGAGTCTTTGCTCCAAAGACTGTGCGCCCGATACAGTATTTGACTAACATTTATTCTAGCTATTTCATGCATATTCATTACATCATATAAATTTAGCATATGTTTATTTTCACAACTAGAGCTAGGTTGTTATCTGTACAACAGTGATAGTTTTCCTATAATTCATACATTCTTGGACAAGATGCCTAGAAGATCATTGACTTAACAGAATTCTACCATAATTCATTTTAGGAAAGCAGAGATGGTTTATGGCTTATGTCCTTGATGACCTTACAAATGGTCTGTTTTATTTCTTTATGGGGGTGTAATTAAGTTTTACAATCTGTTTATTTTCTTCTTTCCTGAGGTTGTAATAACCCATTTGTCCTCCCACACGAATCAGAAATTTTTTTGTTTATCACAGTCCTTCCCCCTTTTTTGTACAATTATTGATTTGTGTTTTTCGTTCTAATCTTGGCAATAAAAGTTTGACACATTCTTCGTTTTGGGAGATAGCATTTTTGGTGACTAATAACAATTTGGCACTTTGCGTTGCTTTTGGGTCCATTGGCATAGCTGATACTTGCATCCCTTGTACTACTGAAACTATTAGCCAAAATTAGACGAAAGCAGCCTATTATCTGCTAGTGCAAAATGAGTCCTATGCGCTTTCCTTTCTGTGTGTAAGAACTGTATTTGTCTTTGAAGTTACCACCACCAAAATTTGGATTCCACCTCAAAAATTGAACATATCCAACGATAGTTTCCCTCCAAAATTTTACAGGACAGAAAAGATCCCGGAGAGGGGAGAGCCCTGGGACCCTAAAACAGGAGGCCCAGAGAGGGGGGACTCCAGGCATCGTGGAGGAGGGGGGAGCACAGAGAAGGGGGAACCCAGGGTACCTCAGGACCTTGAAACAGGCAGCCTGGAGATGGGTGACCACTGGGAGCCTGGGTATGCCAAAATGGGGAGCCCAGGGAAAGGGATCTCCTGGATTCCTGGGACCCCCAGCAGTCTGGTGAGGGGGTGACCCTGGAGAGTTGTTACCCCTGGGACCCCCAGTACCCTGAAGCAGAGAGTTAGGGGAGAAGGGACCCCTGCCTGGCCTGGGTCTCCCCATATAGGGTTGTGGAGAATATTGCGAGAGAATGGCTGTGTAACCGAGGACATGATTGTCAAGAGACCTTGCAGCTGCTGGAAAGCACTGATGAGAAAATGTGAGGGAGCAAAGTAAAACTATCCTGGTAGAAGATCAAAGGAAAGTTAAAGAAAGGACTGTCTCTTGTTAAGAGGATGTTTCTGTCTGAGTGCTGACATTTATGGCCTAAGTGATATATTGCAAGTCCTGTTCTCAAACCCTGTTTTTACTGATAAGGTTTAACTGAATATTCTCTGTATCTATAGCGAATTAGAATACAGTAAACAACCTAAAAATGTTTCTCTATATCTATAGCAAATTAGAACAAAGTAAGCAACCTATAATCATAGTTTTGTCCAATACGAATATCGCATGCTGTTCGTAAAATACTATAAAAACCTTTGTAAAATCTTCAATAAATGAGACTTAAAGCAACTTCTCCTGCTCGTGTCTCCCAGCGTTCCTGTAACAAATGGCGCCCGAAACAAGGACCGCGTAAGTCCCGAGCCAAGGACCACGTAAGTCCCGAGCCTGCATAGAAGGGGACGTTGAAGGGGTCAGACCTCTCTCGCAGAGGAGGTGATCATAAGGACATTACCTGCAACATGTCCCGGATCCCTGGTGTCGTATAGACGAGCCTGACTGTTACGTGCTGCCGATTCCTTGAAGAGTTGCAAAGGCGCGCCTAGATAAGGTATGGAGAGGGAAGCAGCATATCAATTGTTTGGGGATTTCTTAAAAAAGAAAGGGTTAGCAGATATTGACTATAAGAAGGAATTACTTTGTTTATTAGATTACGGTCACTCATTAGGGTTTTTTGTTAATCCCCATACTGTTCATTCTTTAACAGAGTGGAGGAAATTTGGAGATGATTTATGGACGAGGGTTATTGATGAGGATAAAACAGCGAAAAAATATGCTAAGCTGTGGCGCAGTGTGTATAATACTTTGCTACAACATGAGGCTGAAAAGCGGGCAGTAGAAAAAGATATAATGATAAAGGAGGAAAATAAGTCTTTTGGGGAAACCTGGTTTTCTGAATCTACAACACCACTACCCCCTTCGGTTTCTGTAATGCATGTACCTAGTACTCCTACACACCGCAATGAGTCTTCAGGGGTAGAAGTTATTACAGAAAATAATGCCGCTGTACCATCGACGCTCCCGCCACCCCCCCTTTCCATGAATGCTATTCCTACGCCTAGCCGTATGCCTGTCCCTGGGGCTGACAGTGACCTTGCGGGGGCTATGGTACGAGAACGTAGAGAAGCATGGGCTGCATTTGCTCGGCAATGCATGCGAGATGGGGATATGGAGGGTTTGGCTGCTGTAGATCTGGCATTTCCCGTAACATATACCCCGGGACCCCCTGATGCTCAAGGCAATCCTCAAACTGCAATCACAATGACAGCTTTAGATTGGAAATTACTTAGTCAACTTCGTAGCACTGTTAGTCAATATGGGGCGACTGGGGAACCCACTCGCCAGATTCTTGATTACATTTGGAGTACTCAGCTTCTTTTGCCTGCCGACTGTCGCACTATAGCCAAATTGTTGTTCTCTCCCCATCAATTGCTTCTGTTTAATGCACATTGGCAAGCACAAGTACAACAATCTGTTGCCACACAGAGGGGACCAGGTGACCCTCTGCAAGGAGTCACAATGGAAGAATTATTAGGTTTAGGTGCTTGGTTAAGAATTGAAGCACAAATGCTCCTTGGGGCTGATAAGATTAGAGAGGTGATGCGCTGTGCTCGTAATGCAATCGACCATGTTAAAGATCCTGGGGGAACTCCTTTATATATGAGCATAAAGCAGGGAAAAGACGAACACTTTGGAACTTTTATCAATAAAGTAGCTGATGCAATAACAAAAGCGGGTGTACCTAATTATCTTAAAGGAGCAATCTTAAAGCAATGTGCTTTACAAAATTCCAGTCAGGCTACCAAAACAATTATCAATACTCTTGGGGCAGACTGGTCTATTGAGGAAGCATTAGAAAGAATGGCTCGAACCCCTACGGGTACACAAGCCTTCTTAATTGAAGCTTTAAATAACTTAGGGGAAGACTTGAAAAAACAAGCGGAGAGTAGTCAGACACAAATCTTGGCTGCCCTTGCGCCTCTTCAAGTGATGACAGCAAAGTCACAAAAAACAAATACTTCTCGATTAAAATGTTACCGTTGTGGAGGATCAGGACACATGAGAAAATATTGCTCAGCTACAGGAGTGTGGTGCCAAAACTGTAAATCTCCATCGCATAACACTAATGCCTGCCGTGCGGGAAACGGGAGACAAAGCGCGAACAACAAGAGCCGCGCTACGACACAAGTAGCTCTCCCCACAACAGCAGCGTTCTGCGCTCAGCCTCCACCCTCCAACCCGCAACAAGCGGCAGCCTTGGATTGGACTTGGCAGCAGCAATAGATACTATTCTTTTTACTACCGAACCTCAAGCGATCCCCACAGGCATTCAAGGACCATTAGTAATTGACAATAAATCCATGGGAGCTTTATTAGTAGGACGCTCCTCACTTTCACTGGCAGGCTTATTTGTACTACCGGGAATAATTGATGCTGACTATACTGGGGAGATTAAAATTATGTTATACACCCTTTTTCCGCCAGTAAAAATAACTCAAGGTCAACGTATAGCACAACTAATTCCTTTGCCTCAGTTTACTTCTGAAATGTGTCCTATTACAAAAAATGATCGTGGAGAAAAAGGATTTGGCTCTACCGGGCATAATGTACTGCTGACTTTAGATCTTTCTGACCGACCCAAACAACCGATTACTTTGCAATGGGAAAATGAACATTATTGTCTTGATGCTTTACTGGACACAGGAGCTGATACAAGCATTATTCCACCTGACTATTGGCCGAATCATTGGCCCCTTTTTCCAACAAATGCTACTATTACAGGTGTGGGTGGTATCTTCATAGGGAAACAATCACCACGACTAAATGTTACCCTAAGAGATCAATCTACTATCACTGTGTTTTCTGTTGTACCACTGCCACCTACTGTTCAGTGTTTAATTGGCAGAGACATTCTTTCACAATTGAAATGGGTTCTTACAAATGAACCCCCTTTGTCTTAAGGGCCACTTCTTGGGCTTTTCCGATCCCGATAACTTGGTTAACAGATGAACCAGTTTGGGTTAAGCAGTGGCCCCTGAAAAGGGAAAGCCTTGAACAAGCTCATAAGCTTGTTCAGGAACAACTTCAACAAGGACACTTACAACTCTCACACAGTCCTTGGAATACCCCAATTTTTGTTATACCTAAAAAGACAGGAAAATTCTGACTTCTCCATGATCTACGGGCAGTTAACAATCAAATGCAAGCCATGGGTGCATTACAACCTGGCATACCAAATCCAACTTTAATCCCACAAGATTGGCATATTCTAGTCATTGATTTAAAAGACTGTTTTTTCACTATCCCGTTACATCCTCGAGACACCCAGCGTTTTGCCTTTACCCTACCGGCTCTCAACAGAGCATCTCCAGATTCCAGATACGAGTGGGTTATTCTCCCACAAGCCATGAAAAATAGTCCTACGTTGTGTCAACTCTACGTTGCGTCAACTCTACGTTGCAACTGCTCTACAACCCATCCGTAAAAAATTTCCTACCTGGATTATCTACCACTACATGGATAACATTTTATTCGCCGCAAAGGACCGCTTTCAACCGAATGATACCCTCGAAATTCTCAGAGTGTTACAAGAGTACCACCTTGTGGTCTCGATCGAAAAAACCCACCACACTTGCCCTTGGAAATATTTAGGATGGACTTTGACCAACAAAGTCATTCGACCACAAAAACTAACGTTACAATCCTCCATAAAAACTCTCAATGACATGCAAAGATTTATGGGAGATTTGCAATGGTTATGTCCCATCGTAGGCATTCCTACTGAATTGATATATAAGCTGTGTCACCTTTTACATGGCACAGATCCAGCAGCACCAATTCATTTAAACTCTGATGATTACTCTGTTATTAATACTATTTGTGATCTTGTTTTGCAGGGTTTGATCTCTCGAAGGATCCCTGATGTACCCCTATGTTTGTGTTGTTGGATGGGTGATCTTTTTGCTATGGGAGCCATTGTCAAGCAAGTGCCACCAGATACTTCTCTTAAAAACGAAGGGGGAGTACTGCGTGAAGTAATAGTCTTAGAATGGGTCACAGTAGGTACTCACCTAGCCAAAACAATCGTTCAAAAAATCGAAATGCTTGCAACAATCATCATGAAAGGGAGAGAGCGAATATGAACTGTGGATGGCAGTGAACCAAATATCATCTGGCTGCCAATGAAAAAAGATACCTTGGAATGGTACCTTCTTAATAATTTTGCTCTGCAAAATGCTCTTTTAAATTGTCCTAGTGATGTTAGTACCACAGCTTTTAAACAAATTCCTTTTACTTGGCAACAAAAATTACATTGGCTTGAAGTTCCCAAATTTAGTTCTATTCCGCTGTCTTCCGCTCTCACCGTTTACACAGATGCAGGAAAAAGGTCACACACTGCTGCTGTTACCTGGCTCACTAATGGGCAATGGCACCATAACCTTATTAAAGGTGAAAAGTCAGATAACCTACAAACTCTAGAATTAGTAGCTGTAGTTTGGGCTATAACCTTTTTTGACGAACCTCTTAATGTTGTCTCTGATTCCCTATACGTAGTAGGGATAGTGCAAAGAATAGAGGCCTCTATAATACAAGATACAAAAAACCAAAGGTTAGGCACGCTGCTAATCCAACTGCAAAAAGCTATTCAAATGAGAAAACACTCTTACTCCATAATTTACATCAGAAGTCATAAATAGGAAATTGGTTTAGGAGAGGGCAATGCAAGAGCTGACAAGTTTGTTATGACAGCAACTTCTACACAATTTACTCTAGCCCAAGCAAGTCATGACATCTTCCATCAAAATGCAAAAGGTCTCAGTAGAGAATTTTCTATTCCATTAGCACAAGCAAAAAATATTGTGCAAGCCTGTCCTATTTGCAGTCATCACAATGGGGGTTTAGGAATAGGATTAGGAGTAAATCCCAGAGGACTATCTATGAATGCCCTCTGGCAAATGGATGTCACTCACAATAATGAATTTGGGATTCTTAAATATGTCCATGTTACCATTGATACCTATAGTCATTTCATCTGGGCATCTGCACAAACAGGAGAAAAGGCTCTACAAGTAGAACATCATTTACTAGAAGCCTTTGCTGTCATGGGTGTACCTTGCGAAATTAAAACTGATAATGCCCCCTCATACACATCACTACACTTAAAAACATTTTTTCAAATTTGGAATGTTAAACATACTACAGGTATACCACATTCTCCTACGGGACAGGCAATAGTAGAAAGATCACATGCTGTGCTAAAACAATACTTAAAGAAACATTCGAATATAAAAGATGTTAAAAGTCGCTTAGCTAAAGTCCTTTATGTGTTAAATCACTTGTGTGTTTTTGGAGACAAACAACATCCACCAGCCTTCTATCACACTTTGTCAACTGAGAAGGCTAATCCTTCTCCTGATGTCTGGGTACGATATTGTGATCCCAAAACAGGAATCTGGCAAAACCCTAGTAAAGTACTTTATTGGGGTCGTGGGTATGTTTGTGTTATGTCTCCTACAGGTCCTGCTTGGATCCCTGCCCGGTGGGTCAAACCAGCTGTTAATGTGGACACTGCGCATAACTCCGGAACAGGAGAAAGCTCTGGAGGAGAAGATCCAACGGACGATACAGCGCAAATTACCTTCACTTGAAGCTTTGTGGCCTGGTATAGGACAATACATTTACAAGGATCCGCAAGAATCACTTCAAGATTGGGAACGTAAAGTTGATTATGTTTTGTTTGATGAAGATTTTACCCCTCGTGTTGGTAGACATTGTCATATGAATTGTAGAGATTTATCTATAGTTTATTGTAGTATTTGTAACGTTTATAGTGTTCGATCACATTCTAGAAACGAATCTATTAATTGTCTTCCCTGTTGGTTATCATTTGTAGCAACTTCCTTTCCTACACAAATAGCTATCACCTTTCACTTACAATCTCCAGAAGATCAAGAAAGTTTTTACACTCTTCATGAGTGTCCTGACCAACAGGCTTTAGCAGTAGTACGTTTCACATTAGATTGTCTTAAAAAAGGACTGCAATTACGCTTGGCACAAAAACTTATTGATTCACAATGTGGCCTCTTCAGACCACCTGTACACTCTTCTGGGCAATACTTTTTATAATTTCTAATAACTCTGCTGATGCTACTTTGTCCATTGACTCCAGAGAGAATATCTGGGTAACCTGGGCACAACAAACCAATCAGACCGATCTTTGCCTCTCACTTAATCAGGCTAACAACCCATTTCGTACCTGCCTAATCGGTTATCCCTATTTTCAATGGCAGGATTGGAAAAACTTTACAACAGTCAATAGAACTACCATACAAATCGCCTTAAAGAATTGGAAAACAAACAACCATGTAAAATGCATTACAAATCTCACTAGTACCCAAAATGCTTTTGAACTATTCTTAGTACTTAGCAATCTTACTCAGAATGCTATCCTCCCGCTCCAAGAACTAGATCTTATGGGATCCTTCTCTCCCTATGGTCCTCTTGTAAACTTTACAGAAAAATATAACTGTTCTCCGTCATACAGTCTTGATGCAGACAACGGTACAGGAGCTGTCTTGTTTAATGTTAGATACGCATTTGATAATCCTGCATTCTACAGACTTAAACAAGCTGTTAGTGCTTCCAGATCAGGGCAGTGGTCAAATGCATCTCTCACTTATGGCACTGAAGAAGTCACCACCTTAGGTAACTTTCGATTTCCTCTGGGATACTTCCTCATTTGTGGTGATAGAGCCTGGCCAGGTATCCCAGAAAATCCATGGGGAGGACCATGCTATGTTGGTAAGCTAACAATGTTTACTCCTACATACAGAAACCTAATCACTAATGCTTACAATTGCACCCATTTCAAACGCACCATTCACGGTATTGGTCCCGATTGCAACTCACGTGTAGAAATCTCATCAATAGGTGCTGCAGTTACCATGTCCTTCTTTGTTCCAGGTGTAATGGCTGCCCTAATTGGTGTAACATCAAAAATCTCACTTGTTTCGCAGTCCAAGAGTTCAATGTTACCTCTAACATCTTAGATGCATTACTACATGATGTAGATAGCGTCAGACATGCAGTCCTACAAAACCGTGCTGCTATTGATTTTCTTTTACTCGCTCAAGGCCATGGTTGTAAAGAATTTGAAGGAACGTGCTGTTTAAATCTTTCTGATCACAGTGACAATATTCATGCTCAAATTCAGAAGCTTCACAATCGCTTTAATGATATCACTGTTGGTAATAGTTGGTTAGATAAATGGCTCACTAACTGGGGAATCTCTGGCTGGCTTTCAGACTTGGTTAAGCAAGGTATTATAATCTTTCTAGTCATTGTATTACTCTTGTTATTTCTCCCTTGTTTTCTACAATTTCTACAATCTAGGATCTTGAAAATGTTAAAGACAACAAACTCCTCTCTTGTCGTCGTTAAAAAAGAAGGGGGGAGTGTGGAGAATATTGCGAGAGAATGGCTGTGTAACCGAGGACATGATTGTCAAGAGACCTTGCAGCTGCTGAAAAGCACTGATGGGAAAATGCGAGGGAGCAAAGCAAAACTATCCTGGTAGAAGATCAAAGGAAAGTTAAAGAAAGGACTGTCTCTTATTAAGAAGATGTTTCTGTCTGAGTGCTGACATTTATGGCCTAAGTGATATATTGCAAGTCCTGTTCTCAAACCCTGTTTTTACTGATAAGGTTTAACTGAATATTCTCTGTATCTATAGTGAATTAGAATACAGTAAACAACCTAAAAATGTTTCTCTATATCTATAGCAAATTAGAACAAAGTAAGCAACCTATAATCATAGTTTTGCCCAATACGAATATTGCATGCTGTTCGTAAAATACTATAAAAATCTTTGTAAAATCTTCAATAAATGAGACTTAAAGCAACTTCTCCTGATCGTGTCTCCCAGCGTTCCTGTAACATAGGGTGTTCCCCATAAAGTGCCCAAATCGCTGGTGAAGTGCACAAGTTATTCCTGGTTGTAGATGTACCTGTTCACAAACCTCATGGTAACTGCTGTTCAGGAAGTGACACTTGGCTTTTCCCAGAAACTGGAATACTCCTGTGTGGGTAGGGACACAAGTCAGGCAGTGTCCTCCCCTTCAGTAGCCCCTGCTGCCTCGTACGAGCCTCAATGGAAACTTCACACACACCAATATGATGTTTTGGAAGCTTCATCTTTATTGGAAATTATACTTACTTTTATACAGTTCAAAAACTACCACATATTTGACCACTTGTCATTTGTCACACGCACATAAGTTGTTCACACTGCTAAACTACATTCTTATTGGTTAGTCAACATATTTTTCTAAATTCTTCTTCTTCTAAATCTAACTATAACACTCTATTTACATGCCTCCAGGCAGGTCCAGCTCAGCCTCCCGTCTGCAGGTGCTATTTTTCTCATTCCTGCAGATGTCCAGTCCTTTTCGTGTTCTCAAAACACTTAGTCCTTGAAACTCCTCAAATTCCCATCAACTGGTCCACTCCTGCCTTAACCCAAAAGGTCTCTAATTCTCCTACAAGCCCCCAGCACCCTACAGAGGTTGGGAACTCAGGGGGCCACCCCAGACCCACCTTTCCCACCCTCCTCTGCCCCACGGCTGCCACAGCAGTGGTTGCTGGATGGGGGCAACAGCCCATCAACCCCTACAGTGTGGATCTTCCTCCCCCCTCCCCAAGTCCCAGGGAACTGCTCCAGGGCTCAAGTGATGGGGGATGGAGGGGGACCTCCATGGAGTTCCTCTTCCCACCATCCCCCTGCCTGCCATCCAACCCCCCTTTTCTCCCCTCTCCCACCCTTTTCCCATTGTCCCCACAACCCCCATCTCTCCTCCAGCTCGGTTTGGGGGTGTTTCCCCTCTGCCCTTCTCAGTTTAGAGGTCTCAACCCCTTCCTGCTAAGTTTGGGAGTCCATTCACCCCTGGCACTCAGTTTGGGTATGCCACTCCCCTTTTCCCCCTTTCCCCCCCTTCTTCTTTCTCACTGTCCTCCCAATCTTCAGAACCCTCTGCACTTGGTTTCAGCTTGCCTTGCACTACCCTGCCTTCCCTTGCTTTGACTACCCCTATCTTGCCTTTCTTTGCATACACCTCCTTAGTCTTCCCTTGCCTACCCCTGTGTTGCCTTGCCTTGTCTACCCCTCTTATGACTTGCCTTCCACTCCCTTGCCTTGCCTTGAATTGGCTTGCAACCCCCTCCCTTGCCTTGCCTTGCTGTAGTGGGTTTCTTGCTAGGGTTGCCTTGCTAGTGTTTGTTAGCGGGGGGGGAGGGGGGCTACAGGGATGGCTTCTGTTAGAAGCTGTTAGAAGCTTCCCCTGTCTGCTGAAGCCAACACCAACCAGCTCCAGGATGGGTTTCCTGCTGATGGTCAAGGCTGAGCCAATTAGGAATGATAGTAATGCCTCTGTGATAACATATTTAAGAACAGAAAGTTATTGCACAGATGAAAATTCCAGACAGAGAAAAACAGAGTGAGAACATGTGAACAACAATGTAGACACCAAGGCCAATGCAGAAGGAGGGAGAGGAGGTGCTCCAGGCTCTAGAGCTGAGGTCCCTGCAGCCCGTGGTCAAGACCATAGTGGAGCAGGTTCTCCTTACAAGGGATCAAATGTTATTGTCCCTCCGTTTCTGTCTAGGGGTTTGCCCATGGGAGACTGAGGCTACATCCATCCTCATGGAATTGCCTCTGGTCATTTTTCCTTTTAACTCCTGTACCCATGCTGATAAAGCATAGGTGGGTTTCCCATCCCATTTACTCATGTCTTCCCCATGTTCATGTAATAAAAGCCACAGGTTGCCCCGTTGTCTAAGTTTAATGAGACTGAAGTATTTTGCTAAGGAGGATGAGTTATGAAGAAGACCAAACTCCTCCCTCTAAGCAATTGTAAATCTGAAATTAAGAGACTCCAACTGAGGAAGTGTGGAGAAAGAAAAAAATAACAGCCTTTTATTAAAAAATATATGTGCATTGGCAGAACAACAGACTAACACAAAAACAACTAAACAATAATCCTGTACCCAAAAATTCCCTTCAAAAAGGAAACAGTTCAGTACTTTCTGCCTTTTAGTGCAATTCTAACCACGATCGGCAAGGTGCACTGTTGGATCACTGAAGGAGCAGAGCCTGCAGTTGCTCTGTGGTAGTCAGCAGGGGGCGCTGTTGGGCTCCCACGATTACCACGTGGGGCCCCGGTGTGCAGGAGAAGCCAAAAATGGAGGTCTTCACCCCCACACAAAGAGAAGGGGAAAAGGGGAAAAAGGGGGTTCTTCCCACAAAACTCATGTTGTCTGTGGCTGGTTGTGACCGGGATTTCCCCCCTTTCATTGATGGACACACTTCACTGCCAACATGGGAATGTAGGAGGGAGAGGGAGACCTCCTCCCCAAAAAACTCCTCTGCAGGTGGGTCAAGTCTCTCCAATGAAATCTGAGCAGGTCCGGGCTGGGGGCAGAACAGGATTTAGGAAGACAAAGGCAAACTGGAGCCAGAAAACAGCCAGATGACCAGGCCAAAAACAAAGCGACCTCGGAGCTTCTCCACCCACACACCTCCCTGCGTCAGGGCAGAAGTGAAGTAACTGCCATTTCCCAAGGAGAGGGAAAAAACACCACCACCACCACCACCATCCCCCAGTCTTCTGACAACCATCAGTCTGGAATGCAGGCCTGCTAGTTAGTTCTTTTGTGTGTGTCAATTACCCTAGGTAAACCCCTCCCCCTCCCTTGTTCAAAATCTTTCTTTTACAGTAATGCAGGGGAAAGAAAAATTCCCTGCTTGATTTTTTAGAACAAGTAAACCTATGATACCCGTGTGGTGTACCCCCTCTCCCTAGCTGGAGGATGCCTATTTGGGATAGCAGGGGCTCCAGTTTGCACTGGTGAGACATGGACAATGCTCTCTTTAAACTCCTGAGTACTTTTTAGTAATTTTTTACTTCCTCATTTAGTGCCCGGAGGTCCACAACTAATTTCTCTACAGAAGCAATATGGACCCATACAGGGCATGGACAATCTTATTATATGTCCTGAGTTTACTCATCATAGTGCCCACTGCTTCTTGGTTTTCCTGCATTGTTGCCAGGAAATTAGCATATACGGGTGGCCTTGCACATGAGAGGTTCCACCACATCTGTGATGTACACTTGACCTTGTAGGGGTAGCTATTGGATTGCCCATCCCTTGCCAAAAGTATCTCCAACAGTGCCTCAGGCATTGGATCCCATCTTCCATGGTCTCCCGGGTGCAATGATGATGTGCCTGCAGTTTGTCTCTGTAAACAAACCTCTCTCTTACACTTCTTAAAAACCATGTCCAGAGATGAAGGGGTTCAAACTCCCTTACAAACCCCTGGTTAACCTGCATCCTGAGATCCTAAATAACTTGTTTCACTATTGTCAAGCAGTGCGCCTTTGCCTGTAAGATCCTCGGCTCAAATTAACCAGATCAGACTGAGTTCATCCTGTTGTTATGTTTTTCTGCAGGTTGTGGAAATTATCAAATGGAAGGGATTCAGTGATTATTTCTGGTTCTAGGTCTGTTATTTGTGAGGGTCTCACCTCTCCATCATTGTCTACCGGGCAAACTGATTTGGTCTCATATTTTCTCTTTTGGAAAGGGGCAACTTCTATTGGCTTGGGTTGTCCCTCTGGTTTTGTTACACTCTGAGTTGCCATGGTGTCAGGTGTCTTCTTCTCTTTCTTTTCCTCCTGGAGGTGCTGCACCATACTGAGGAGCTTTTGGGAGGCAGTGGCCAGGGCTCCACATGCAACCACAAGCTGCCCCTCCATAGATCTACCATAGCACTTTTCCTTCACCAATCTCATCACCTTGAAAGGGGTCCTGCAGTTCTTCAAGGGTGAACTTCCAGGTCATTGGAGCAGAAACATTCTCCAAGAACTTACCCATGTCCTCCCATAACCCATGCCACTTGAAACTATCCACTCCTGGGAAGGGCTTCTGGACAAATTCCCAACAGATCTTGGTCCTACCTTCATACATAAGATAGAGCATCATAATATAAACTGCCAAACATACAAAGAGTAAGATATCTCTAACATCTAGAGGTAATTTAAACTCTTCATACACTGTTGTAGTGGACCTGAGGGAGAAATGGGTGAAGGATTGGGAAAAAAACGCTTCCCTGCATTTCTCCCCCAGATTGGGTGCCATTATCACTAAACCCCCAAGGATAACAGCTTAGGTTAGGGTAGGAAAAAAACGCTTCCCTGCCTTTCTTCCCCAGATTGGGTGCCATTATCACTAAACCCCCAAGGATAACAGTTTAGGTTAGGGTAGGAAAAAAACCCTGAAAACACATTCCAAAGGAGACTTATAGGCATTGAATTTACCACCCCATGGATCCAAGTTACGAACTGAAAAATAACCACAGCTACCTTGGGTTTAGAACCCATTTTGAGATAAACATCTATGAAAGGAAAATACATATGCAGGAACACATACCAATTAAACAGCAATAAATAGAACAACGTGATGCCTGAGGGGTTTTATATCCAATACACAAGTGGATTATTCAAAACTGTTATTCCTTTTCCACTTTTTCTTTTAATATAGTACGTTGAGATACACAAAATTATTGTCTTTGTTTACTGTCAATATGTCCCAGGCAGCAGGACCTCTGATGGAATAGAAACCCCCCCACCCCTAAAATTATGAGGTGTTCGAGTGAAGTATGAAAATGAATGA